TCTTGGGTTGCTTGTCGGTCACTCTTTCGTCTCTTTCTCAAATTTCCAACTTATTCAACCTCATCTTTCGTGGTTGTTACCACGAACTACGGACGCTCTGATTCTTTATTCATTCTTGAATATAAGATACGTAGGCACAAGATTGCAATGATCTTGGCGAGCACACTCCTATCCATCTTCCGTTTTCCCCATCCATTCCCGTAGTCGAACTACGACGCTCTGATTTCTCATTCTCGTCCGAATGAGCATACGTAGGCACAAGGGCCCCAATCCTTGGCGAGCACCCTATCTTCTAACCTCCCATCTCTTCTTAGCATCTTTATCCTATTACCCTACCAATTCTACCTTTAACAACGAGAAGAAAACAAGTAAACCTAAACAACACTCTCCACAATTACCTTAAGAGGTTCCCGTCGAGTACGACGGACGTGAGGGGTGCTAATACCTTCCCCTCACGTAACCGACTCCCGAACCCGGAACTTGGTAGCGACAACCCTGTTCCTATCCTTTCGTTTTAAGAGGTTTTCTCGATATTTTCCTCTCCTGTTTATTCGGGATAAATAAAGTTCGGTGGCGACTCTGTCGAACCGCATTTCTGCGCCTTTCGTGCGAGGGTTGCGTTTCTCCGAAATGTCTCCGTGATTTTTCGAGGTGCGACAGTATTGTACAAACTTTGTTAAATGTTCGTTTGGATCTTCAGTTTCATTTCCTGAGAATTGGTTTTGTTGTACAGCTGACAGCAATGACGGTTTCAGCTCAAAATCGTTTCGAGTAATAGCTGGGGCAGCAATGCTACTTCTAGGCTCCATTTGAGAGGGTGTAGCGTATGCCTTCAGCGGTTTGTTTTGAGGTCCTTCAGCCATCTTTGGTTCTTCTTCGGATTTGGGAATGTGAGTGGGAGGATCGGGAATGTTATGTTTTTGTTGGTACTCAATGATGCGACTTCTTAAATGTAAGAAGCGCTCTAGTTCTGCGACTGAAGGTTTTAAGATATCGCCTTGTGGGCGATTACTTGGCATACAATCGACAGAACTAGTAAAGGGAAAATGAAATTGTTAACCTAGTCTATACGGCGTAACAGAAGGTTACACTATTGACTAAACGGGTCCCCGGCAACGGCGCCAAAAACTTGATCGCGACTTTCTATGTCTAATACAACTTAACTGCAAGTGCACAGTCTATCGTGTAGTAATAAAAGATATCGATCCCACAAGGACTCGTAATCAAACTAGTGTTCTCGGGAGTTACTATGTTTAGCTAGGTAGATAATGTTTAAGGGAATAATTTCTATCACTAAAGGGAACTAAAAACGTTACTTGAATTATAATTACGCGAATCGATATGCAATAATTATGTTCTTCGGGGATTTGACAAGTTATCGGTATATGAAATATTTTTCAGAATTTATTTAAGAAGAAAAATAGTGATCTAAAGACCTTCGTCTCACGATGGTTGTTGACGCTAGTCGCAACTCTAAGGCGGAACGTAGTTCGGGGTTAAAATCGCTTTTTGGAAATCTCTAAGTTCTAATCTATTTTAAAGTGCTTTCGCTATTATTAAAACAAACGCCTAGTGTTTACTATCTGGTCCTAGCCGCAGCTGTCGCTTGTTGGTTCGTACCTTAATTAATTTTCCACTTTTGTGGCAAAACTACTTTTAAATAAGTTCTCGCTTTCGCGACGAAAGTTTATTCAGTAAATAAGTTTAAACACTCAGACCATAAACAACTTTTGAAAAGGAAAGTTTTCAACCGGTTATTATCAAATCCCGTCTGAATTATTATTACATATCGATTACTCTGGTTTAGCTAGACATGGATTTGGGAAAGGTAAAACATAAATAAAAACAGAAACTTAGAACATTCATATTACTGAGAATTAAAGTTACAATTAACGAAATAATGAAAAAACCTGTAACGTATCCAATTGGCTTTTGGCCAAATCCCAACGATGTCGGCGGGATTGTGTCTTCAAACCAATAGAGCGCACAAATGAATATTGTAGAAAATGGAATACAGGAATAAGGAAAGGAAACGAAAACAGAAAGAATGAAGCTAAATTTTGCTCTGGAAATAAATTTGGGCAGCACTTCGTTGTCTGAATGCGGCTCCCTTTCTCAGCTCCCCTCTTCCCCTTTTATAGAGGTAAAAATTCTAACGGTTGTAATTTGAAGAAGGTGGACTTGGAGGCAGAAAAATTAGGGAGTAGTGGTCCATTACTTGGGACTTGGAACTGGTATTTGCACGTTCAATTGAAGCTATGCGTTTTTGCCTGCATGACGGTCATCACGGGGTGTGACGGTCGTCACCCGTGTGACGGTCGTCATGGAGGTGTGACGGTCGTCACAGCAGCAAAATGCGCATTCTGTGTTTTTCATGTTGTTTTCATCTGGTTTTCGTCCATATTTCATCTGTAATTGCTTCTTTTCTTCATATTGCTTCGTTTAGACATGATCTTCAAATACCTGCAAAATAACAGACAAATAGCATGGAAAAAACCCGAAATCGGATTGAAACCAGTCGAACATTAATTGAATTATGCGTCAATATATATATACGATTTCGCGTTATCAATACCGTAGGGACTTTGCCTTAAGGGAGATAGAGGCGTACTCGTCGATCAATATCTGAGTACTTGAGCCCTTCTCTTAAGACGATGCAAAGACTTTTTTCCTACAACTTGTGGCGGTTAAATCTCTCTTAAAATGAAAACTCACCTTTTCTCCTAAAATCAATCAACCAACTACCCTAAATCCGTAGGAAACTTTAACCACAGTCAAATAACTCCTCAAACCCTGTAGGGGAACTACAGATACTCTGATTCCACCCCCGTAAGGATATGTAGGCATAAGATGCGATATCTTATCGAGTATACTTAGAAATAAACCCCTAGGTCTTTCACCCATTAAGTAGATAAACCTTAGCAATAAACAAACATAAAACAAGAGGTTCCTGTAGAGTACTACAAAAATTTAGGATGCTAGTACCTTCCCTAAGTTTAACCGACCCCCGAACCTATAACTCTCTAAACCTTGCATTTGCATTGCATTGTGGGAATTTCGATCTTTATCCCTTCCTTTGGACAAATCAAAGTTCGGTTGCAAAATGAATTAAAGATTCAAACTAATCAATAGTTTGGTATCCAAATTTCACCTCGACACCATGTCAGGAAGACTTTTGACACAAAGAGACAGTCCCTTACTTGAACTGTGCTCTAATACCACCGATGGATCATCATGAGGAGAAAACACTCACCTAAAGGTCAAAGGCTCACCCAAACAAGTGAGAGAAACACCACATATTCACCCAAAATCTTAAGGTGATAGGTGTATGAGCTCTCTTACTTATAAAGTGCTCAACCTCCACTTTTCTAAGTAATGTGGGGCTTAGAACTCACACTTGTTTCTCAACACAACTCACATTTGTTTCTCAATAATTTCCCTCTCAAGTGTGAGTCCATCGTCTATACTCCCCCTTAAGTGGAAGATTTTTTTTCATCCATATGCTTGTACTATCATTGAAAGACACCCTTATCTCGTCATGGGCACTTCAATGAAACACGCCGCCCCACCATGTTAGGAAGACTTTCGACACAAGGAGCTGGTTCCTTACTTGAACTGGGCTCTGATACCACTGATGGGTCATCATGAGGGGGCACATTCATATTGGGTTAAACATTCATCTAAAGGTCAAAGAATCACCCAAAACAAGTGAGAGAGACCACATATTCACCAAAAACCTTAAGGTGATAGGTGTATGAGCCTTCTTACTTATAAACTGCTCAACCTCCATTTTTCTAAGCAATATGGAACTTAGAACTCACACATGTTTCTCAGCACAACTCACACTTGTTTCTCAACAATAAGATGACCTAAGTGTAAAATTTTACGCCTAGTAAGATTATGTTTTGTTGGTAACCTGTCATTCAACAATCTCCATGCAAATAATGATAGTTTCAAGGAAACAATTTTGTTTCAAATTAAGTCTCGAGTCGATTAACTCTCCCCGTCGTCAAAAGTTGATATACACCTTCAGTTTGCTACACCGAAAAATCCCACAATACTCGAGAATCGAAGTTAAGGTAGTTTATATACAACATTTACACTCCTCAACATAATAAGACACATTTTTCAAAGGATAAACCTACAAAGGACTTCCAAAAAGACCAAAAGAGATAAAACCATATAAGCTAACTTTAAATTCGAAACTAAACTTACAAACATGCTTATTGGGTCGAACCCTTTAACCCCTTAGTCTTAACTAAGGGCTACTTATCGAATACATTAAAATGTACTCTCTCCATTTTTTTATAAGTAAATTTTAACTTCTAAAAATTATTTCATAAATAATATATTTAAATTATATATAAGTTAGATATATTAATTATTAAATAAATCTAAATTATTAAAATTTTCTTATAAATAGAAATGGTAGAAGTATCAGGTTAATTGATAATCAATGCCAATAATATTTTGTATACAACATCCGTATTCCTAAAACCAACCGTGGAAAATACTTATATGACACATTTTCCCACACAAAAACATCATTCAACCAAATGCATCACTATACAAGCAATTCCTAGACGATTGTAACTAAAACTGGAAATGGTTCATACTTTAATTCAACCCCTAAGCTCATAATTTTTCATGAGATGACAAGTAAATAAATAAACCCAAAAATCAATTGAACTGAACTTCCTTTTCTCGAAAAATTAAAAAATAAAATAAAAGTATACCTAACAAATAAATTCAACATTTTAAAGTAGCGCGAAGGAACATTTTAGCTTACAAAAGCAATAAATATTGAAGAGAGATAGTAAGAAGTATCTCGTAGCTAGTTAAGGAAGAAGGGGACGGGTGACAATTTGCTCGGCTGGGCCTTTCCTTGCATGACTGACACCCATGACGTCTCCCTTCTGCTCACTCTGCTCCCCTAAAACCATAACACCGACCTTTCATTCCTTCTTTCTCTAATCTCACTCTACCATTTCTCAACAACGATGCTTTCACTTTTTTCTCAACCTTTTCCTTCTTCTTCTTCTTCTAGATGCACCACCACCTTCAAACTCAAACCTCTCACCGTTTCTTCTTCTTCTTCTTCTTCTCAACCATTCCCTCCTTTTCTTCCTAAACAAATTCACACTATCAAAGATCCTTTTGCTAGAAAATTTGCAATGCGGATTCAAAGATTACCTGTCCCTGTAATTCACTGTTTCTCTTTCTCTTTATGCTATTATAAATTAAGTGTGTACGGTTTAATCATTATCTCAAATTAATAATCATGTACTTTTACTACTTCTATTTAAATTCACTTTATTGTTACTTACACAGATTTTCGTACGTTTATGTTCTATTCAATCATTCACAAATTTTTTAATGCTGTTTATATGCTTCAATTAGTGAAAGTATCTTTGATTTCAAAAAATTCTGTTATTGAAGGTTTTTTGAGGGTTTGGATTTGAGACCTGGAAGTTTGTTGAATCTCTGTAATTGGGTGTCATTGGTGCATTTGTTTGGTGGTGGTGGTGGTGGTTGTTGTTATTTATTGTGGGTTTTTCTACATTACTCCCAAATTCTTGACAAACAATAATAGAATTTTGTTTGTGGTTATAGAATGTGTTTGGCCCAGTGGTGTGTAACAGTGTAAGGTCAATTCTCATACATTCTAGTGTAAAAACAGTAGGTTTGTCCCACCACTGTGAATAGTTCATGGTTGAATGTTTTGATGAGATGCAATGGATCTTGTTGAATTTATTGTGGTACCATGGTTGGTGGAGTTTTTATGTACAGTTAACAAAGTTACATTTTTTCCTTTATGAGATTTGGCTTTTTTCAGAACTAATTTTTGCAGTTGATTAATGTGTGATTTGTTCTGTATGACATGATTAGGTTAGCTTTGCAGAAAGCCCAATCATGAGTAGTTGTGTGAAGCCGTTGGTGCAGAGCAAGGAGCCGCCGATTGTTCTTCTACATGGTTTTGATAGGTGCTTAATTTTTGCAAGAGACGAAATTTGTTTATAACATTTTATGATAAAGTTGACCCTGAATTTTTATGCCGTTTGTTCAGTTCGTGTTTAGAATGGAGATATGGATACCCATTGCTTGAAGAATCTGGTTTCGAGACCTGGGCAGTCGATATTCTTGGTTGGGGTTTCTCTGATTTAGGTTTGTTTTATTACTTTGCCTGTTGTATCTTGTTTATTTACTTACCCCTTTCTTTGTGGGATTTTTTATGCTTTCAACTCTAAATTTTGTTTTGTCCATCAGAAAATCTTCCTCCTTGTGACGTGGTATCAAAGCGCAATCACTTCTATCAGGTTTTGATGTATTCCTTAACTTGAATGTATCTCTAGTATCCCTGTGTGTTTATCAAACATTGTATCACTGTTAACAATCGGGACATGGAAAATAACAGTTAGTGCAAATTCCGCCACAGGACAATACTATAGTGCCACAACAACAACTATTTGGTAACATTTTATACTAATTGAGATGTCACAAAACAATAGTAATTTATTCAAAATCCTCTATGCTGTAGGGCCGCTATTTGTCAACAATGCCTTTTACCAAACTATGTAGATTGGGGTAACAAATCAGTTAAATTATAGGCTTTGAACTGTTTATTAACTATCATCTGAAGAATTTTCTATCTTCACCGATTATCAATTTCTTGCAACATCTCATATTTTCCTCCCATTGTTACACACTTTATTGAAGGTGAGTTTTATTTATCTTTTACAGTTTTGGAAGTCCTACATCAGAAGGCCAATGATATTAGTTGGACCAAGCCTTGGCTCTGCTGTTGCAATTGATTTTGCGGTTAATTATCCAGAAGCTGTAGGTGCCATCAAATAAATTTAATTCTTAATATCCTTCACGGCACTATTTGTGAGAAAACTATCTCCTAAAAGAAGTTCATCAAATGACTCTGGGGATTTATTTGTAAATCATCTTTTCAGGTGGAAAAACTTATTTTGATTGATGCTAGTGTATATGCAGAGGGAACTGGAAACTTAGCAACCTTACCTAGATCGGTAGCCTATGCTGGGGTAAATATATCTCCATCTTACTAAAACCTTAAAACCATATTGCTGATCATTATTATAATTCACTATTGACACTGTTTTGAATCAGGTATATTTATTGAAGAGCCTTCCGTTGCGCTTATATGCCAACTATTTAACCTTCACTAACATGCCCTTACACACCATTCTTGATGGGACTAATGTGAGCTTCCCTGACCTTAAAATTATGGTTTTCTATGATATGTTTTTGCATCTTTGTCTTCATATTGCGACATTAGGTAGATGTTCTTTTTGATAACTTGGCATCATATGGTCAACAACTCTGCTTCGTTAGTAATAGGATAGCCAAGAGTTTTAACGACCCAATATATGTTCTAACATTTTTCGTATCTTTATAGGTGGGCCGTTTACATTGCTTATTGCCTTGGTGGGATGATGCTACTGTTGATTTTATGACTAGTGGCGGTTACAAAATTGCTTCCCTCATAAGAAAGGTATATGAACATTTTATATGTTATTTTTGTGGAGTTTGGGGTGCATCTACTTTGAAACAAATGAATACTTTGCAATAAAATTTTTCGCATCGAACCTTCTGACCATGGGGTATGATCACAGTAGTCACTTGCTTGTCAACTGCTAGTCAATTTTGCAGCATTGAAAAAATTGTATGTAGCCAAAAGCATCATATTTGTCAACTGTAGTGTCTTCAATCAGTACTGTGATTTTTTTGTCAATGCAGCCGACCTTACCTAGTAGGATTAGACTTAGTCGTTGTTATGATTTTATTCTTAATGAAATCAAAAGCTTATTTTTGTAATTATGAGACTTTAGGTGAACGTGGTTATAATTTCACTTATTCATTTAGGTTCTTAAGTTCTGTATATAGTACAAGGAAAATGCTTGTGAATTTTACAAGCATATCCTTCAATAGTATTTAAAGCTTGGATATATATGCTATATACACTAGTTCTCTGTTTGTATGAGAATCTGAAATTCAATCCAACTCATATTTGAAAATTCCATGCACTTTTACCCTAAGAAACCGGGGGCCCCTTTCAGTGAGATCGATTCTAGAGGCTCCTGAATTTAATAGGAACAGGCCATGAGTTGTTTGGAATGTTGTCATATTTCTCCATTAATAACACATGCTGAAGTTACAAGGTAGCTTTTCTACCAGTACTATGTTTCTTGGTTCGAGTTACACGCACACTAAACCAAAATGAAAACATAGCCCCATTTTTGTTAGGAAAACCTTTAAAAGTATGTCTTCATCAATTAAAAGTTTGCCTCGAAAAATAAATTTCATCTTATTTCCGGAAGCTTGGTTTCCTTCTCAGTAATATGTTTTGAATTTGTTTAACAGGTAAAGCAGAAAACACTGATAATATGGGGTGAAAATGACCGTATAGTCAGCAATAAGCTTGCAGTGGTTAGTTGTCATGTAGCACTACTTTTATAGCATGTGATTAACAAGAAATCTATATCAATTATTTTTATCCTGGAAAATCTTGAAGCAATACATATTCAGACACTTTATTGGATGCTTTTTAGGGAACAATATTTTACGCAAACACTACAAGTGAAGTTGACTATTAAACTTTTATTCTTGCAGCAACTACACTGTGAATTACCTGATGCAGTTCTTCGTCAAATACCCGATTGTGGGCATATTCCTCATTTGGAAAGACCTGATTCAGCTATAAAATTAATTGTTGAGTTTATTCAAACAGAGAAAAAGAAATTAAGTAAACTTGTTTCACAAGTAAGCCAAGTGAGTTAACTTTTTGCGACCCTGCACGCGTAAGAGTCAAACAAGTTTTCGGAATGCTCCTTCCCTAACAAGAGTTTTAGAGGAAAAAGCAATATGTGCTGCAGAAGCTTAATATTGATAAGTAAAGTCTTTCTCATATCATATATAGTTTATTGAGTGTTAATGTCTTAGCTATTGAATTATGTATTCAGTGAATAAGTATTCTTCAATGTTATCTTTCTAAGTAGTAGCATAGCACAGTGTAATTATTTTATAATGTAGCAAACTTCAACTATGGTGACATAAGACCATGTGATTTTACCATTATATGTTGAATATAAAATTGAGATGCATTTGGAATAAATCCATGACTACCAACATCCTCTAAAGCTACCTGTTAGGAACCTGGAACAGAAAATACACTGGAACATGTACAAATTGGAAGAGAGATAAGTTGTGTATATTATTTGTGATCAAATGCAAAGTTTACAGAAAGGAAAACAATCCCTAGATTCTGCAATAGAGCATGCTATAGGGATTTACCTTTCCCCTTTAGAATAAACTTTCAACACTTTGGATCCATTGGATCTGTGATGGATTAATAGATCACTTGGGTCCCCTCATACCCCCTCATAGGCATATGTTTGCCATAGTGCAAACATTACCATTTATGGACAGTGACAAAATATAATAGTTTTTCTTTTTATTTTATTAATGTACTTTTGATTTACTCTATTTTTAAGACATTGAAGTTTTAATCTCTTTTTTAAAATCCAGTTTTTTTTTTCTCTATTTCAAACTTTTTTTTAATGTATTTTGATCTTTCATTTTATTTTGGGATCGATTTTATTGAGGTAATACTATTTACGCAGGCAAATTTAAAAATAACAATTTAAACTAATTTAAACATTTTAAGAATAATAATTTAAATCAATTTTTTCTTTGAAGATTTTTTTTTTGTTTTTAAATTTTTTTAAACAAATATATATAATAATATAAAATTATTTTAAAAAACTAGTCTAAATAATTTATTGTTTGATAGTGTATAATATATGAGTTATACAACTCGAAACAACAATTTGTTCATAATTTTTGAAGTAGAAATAAATAAATAAATAAATAAATATATATATATATATATATATATATATATATATATATATATATATATATATATATATTGAAAGAAAAATATTTTTAAAAAAATACAATGACCATGTAAATTACAGGGCGGGTGTTGTGTTTTTGTTTAACTTATCATTCGTCTTTATAAAAATCAAGAATAAAAATGTATTTAACCACTATTTTTAGTTAGGTTGTATCTCTTTTAGTTTTATTTGGTTATTAATATTTGCTCAAATGTTGATTTTGCAAAGATTCGAGATGTTTATATCTATGGTGAATTCTAGTATGCCATTTGTCTATATATTATGGTCTGTCCTAGAGGACAGTATATGCAAATACTTTTAACGTTTAGTTTGTGACAATCGAAAATGAAAGAGGTGTTTTAAGGTTAAAAAGCATGTAATAGGATCCTTGGCCCTTTATAATAGGATTCTAGAGTTCCGGGTCCTTAGAACCTTTTACTCCAAACACGCGTTCTCTTAGATAGGTGTTTGATGATCCTTTATTTTTTTCATCCAAGTTTTGGGCATGACTCGCGGTTTTGGCCATTCTTTTAATAGGATTGCTTTGTTGACACCTTTTTCTACATCCTATACTCAATTTACTGTTCACAAATACTTAAACAAATTCTTCAGAACATGGTTAATAGTGTGTATTTTATTGGTTAATGAAGTAGTGAAAGTGATTAATAAATTATAGGTAAAATAATTGGCTAATGATGTAAACTTTTGTGGTTAATGCGCAATCTTATATTTGTGTTATAAAATAAATTTTAAAAATATTTTTTTTAAAAAAAATTAATATTTTTAAAAAATATATTATTTTAATTAAAAAAACACTGTTCACCGTATAAATACGGTGAACAGTACATACGGTGTAAGTATTGGGTGTAGAAAAGGGTGTAAGAATAACATTTTTCTTCTTTTAAAGGTGCATTAAATTTGAGAATGTTTTATTTCATCCCTTGGGTCTCTTGGCCACCATACATGCTTTTTTAAATATATATTTTTGAATGTACATTTTTTTACTCAATGTTAAATTTTTTCGAAGATACATCTCCAAAATTACCATAAAACACATATTTTATTCGTTTTTGAGTCAGACTCCCAAATTTACAAATAAATTGTTTCCGGAGTCTTCATCAAGATTGCATTGAAAAACATGTTTTTAGGTCGACACATACATAAATAGGCCGACCTATACGAATTTCAGATCCAGTTCAGATCGGCACATAACTTTTCAGGTCGGCTCTCATGGACCAATATTAAAGCCTGTAGCTTTTGTCCATATGTCGACTCTCATAGGTCGACACATGGGTGACACGTAACCTTCAGAGGTCGACTTAAAGTCCTTGATAGGTCGGCCTGAAGACATTAATAGGCCGACTATTGCTTTGACAGACCGACCTATACGATTTTCCAACTTAAATTTCTCATTCTCACTCCAACAAATTGCAATCCTTTTGCCTATTTTTTCTCATACCTATATATACTCATACATGCATCTTCTTCTAATAAGTTACTGTCGTGCGTAAAAACGATTATGGTGTCACATGCAAGTATACATGCATGTTTTAATTGCAGCAAGTGATATTAGTAATGATATCGTACCCACAGGGAGTGAAAGAGGTTTAGATTGAACTTTTTGTAACTATTCTTGTTTAAAGCTAACATGAGAAAAGTAACAAAATAATTGTTTTTAGTAAGCTTACATTTTTCCACAACATATAACTAAATGAAATAAAAGTAGGTTTGATTAAATCAAGAGAGTGAATGTTGAACTATGATCCATTAATATGCAAGTGATCAAAATGTGTAGATGATGAGATGTGTTGTGCCTCAAAAGATCAGAACGTGATCTATATGTGTATCTCTACAACATTAAAATATGCATTAGTAGAGCAAGAGAACAAATCTCTAAGTCTCACTTATAATCCTGAAATACTTCTGGTTTATATTCTAAAAGTTCTTTATGGTTTTAGCCTCTTATCTCTAAGCAAGCTAATTAAGTGAATATCTCTATCCTACTTGTTTAACCATTTTTGTTATGAAGTCCACTTGTTGCTGGATTTCTCACAACAACAAGCTTTTATCTTTTTCTAAGTTGATCATCAAAGAGTCAGGTTTATAGCATAAAAACACATAACAAAATAAGTCACTTAACATCACATCATTTTAACATAAAGACAACATTATATTAACTTCACATTGCTCAACAAATAAATATTTAGCTCATGGTGAGCCGAGTACAAACTATTGAACTAAAACTACTAGGAAACATACTTAACAATAGATGTAAAAGAAATGACAACCTAGAGGTAACTTAGAGATCTCTTGTGTTGGATAAACACCAAGTGAAGACTCTAGTCGCGTCAGCTCTCAACAATGAGTACAGGATTGGATGAGAAGAAGAACTTCCTCTTTTCTCTCAAACCTCACGCTGAAATAATTATAACAATACTAAAAACTATCTTCTTGATGAATGCGTGCGGAACCCCTTTTCCAATTCCTAAGGTCAGCTTTTATAGGCACAAGCGTGGACGTGAAAGGTAGTAGGCCTTGGATCATGGGCTTCTGATGCAAACAAGGTTCATCCCGTATTCAATTAGCATATTCTCTTTTTTGTCCTCCAGTCTTTGTGAACAAGCATCCTGTTATGCACAATGGTGAGGACAAGGCGTCTGATGCAGGCTGCTGTAGTAGGTGGTGGCGCAGAGGTGCAAACGGTGCAATGTTTGTGTGCATGGTGCGCTTTTGCAGTGGTGGTCCCCACCGTACTACTTCTTTGTCTCCTTGTGCAATTGATCTTATCCATTTAATTTTTCATTTCTTCCAAGCATAATTCTGCCACGCAAACCTTAGAAATGAGCACACTCCATGATCTTGGCCATTACCTATTTATGATCTTCAACGAACTTTATATTTTCCTTTCAACTCTCTCTTTCAAACGTGTTGCACCCTAAAATTTGACCAACCGGGTCCCGTATCTGGCTCGATGTTTCGACGCATTTCGCATTAGCATTTACATACTGCATATAGTGCATTTTCTCAATCATGGTGATTTTATCGGGATTACAGCCCTGCTGTCGCATTTCAGGTGTCTCAGACCGGTTCGGACAATCGGAGGTTATTTTGAGAAGTCACGCGCTTCCTGGTTGTTCTCAGCTCACGCAGTGATTTTGGAGATTCTTGGCGTCCGGGTTTATTGTTAGCTTCGATCTGGTCTCGCGCTCTTTTTTATGTTGGTTATTTGCGTTTGTCTGCTTTTTTTAAGATTTAATAGCCTTTTGTAGATTTTAAATAGGTTTTATAGATTTTCTAGAATTTAAATAGAGTTTCTTTTAATATTTTTTAATAGTTTTAAATCTTTTTTTAGAATTTATAAATTGTTTTAAATAGATTTTAGAATAAACTTTTTTTTTTAGATATTAAGTCATTTGTAAATAATAGTTTAATAGAATATTTCTTTTAATAGGGTTTTTAAAATAGAAACTAATATAGTTTTTTCTATAGGTTAATATAGATTTTATTAGAGATTAATTAGGATTTTAATCTTTTGTTAGAGAATTATTAGAGTTTTTTTATATTGTCATTAGTCTAGTGATTAGTATAGATTTAATAGTTAATTCTTCTTTTTAGGTTTAATTAGACTTTAATCATTTGTTTAGATATTAATTAGGGTCTTATTAGAGTTTAGTAGGTTTAATTAGGATTAGACTACCGTGTTAATTGTCATTTTAGCATCTAATTGCAATTTTACTTTTAGTTAGTTTTAATTCAGTTTAATCATTAGTTAATATAGTTAATTAGGTTAAGTCTTTAATTAGTATTTTTAATTGAGTTTAATCTGTCATTAACCATTTCATTCAGTGCAGATCCAGTCCCATTGTTCAATTTCGTTGGGCC